TTTGTTCTACTTGTTGTATTCAATTTAGTAGTTCAGAAGAAAGAACCACTCACTTTAAATCTGATTATCATGTGTTTAATATGAAAAGAAAAGCAGTATTAATGGAACCAGTTTCATTACAAAAGTATAAAGAAATAATGGCAAAAGATGTTTCGTTTAAAACTGAAGAGTGTACTTATTATTGTAGTTTATGCAAAAAGAGATATAATACTGAAAATCAAATGAAAGAACATGAATTAAGTAAAAAACATAAAATAAATCTAAAAAAGAAAGAATAATGAATAGATTATATAAATCAAGTTGAAAAAGAATAAATAAAGAAGAAATAAAAAAAGATTGAGAAAAGAAAAAAGAAAGATAAAAAGAAAATAATAAATATATAAAAGATAAATTTCAAGAAGAATATATCAAAATGGAGAAATAAGAAAATAATGAAATTTTAAAATGATTTGAAGATAAAATGACAAACTACAATAAAACAATTAAAATATTGAAAACAATTAATATTATAAGGAATATATTCAAATAAAGAAAATACAATAAAATGCAACAAATATTGGAATAATGAAAGCAATATAGACAGATGAACCAAAATATTCAATGTGCATTATCTATAATAAAATAGTAACATAAATCATATCATTCTCATTTGAATAATCACTAAAAATCACAGATGAATAAACATGATAAAATGAATATATGGAGTGGTTTAAAGGTTAATACAAGAAATCAACATATGAAACAATGTTCCAATACAACGACATTACTATGATATTGAACAAACAAATAATATCAAATAGTAATGGAAAATATCACAAAGACCAGATATATATCTATTAGATAAAAGAATAAAACTGGTCTAATAATTGATATGACTATTATTGTATATCACAATATCAAATGAGGGTATTTGAAGAAAAGAAATATGTATAAAGAAATAAAAAATAAGTTAATTAAAATAGAGAAATTAAAAGATGTTAAAATAATTGCAGTAGTAATCGCTATAAATTAATTAACAAATATTGAAAATATTAAATTAATTAAAGAATTAAAAATTGAAATTGATAAGATAAAAGAAATTAAAAACTATGTAATTAAAACCATGACCAATGTCATTGAATATTGTTTCTACAACAACCAAACATACATTGTTGAATTACTTAATGAAGAATCAAAGATGGAATTAATCCACCCTGAGTTATGAATAATAAAAACAAATTCTATTATTACTTAATTATTTGCTTTTTATTATTAGTTTATTCTGTTTAACTTATCATTTTACTCCATTTATTATTACTAAATTATTCATAAATCAATTTTGTTTTGTAATATTATTCTTCTAATTTTATAATTCTTAATATAATGGTTTTACTTAGTACTAGCTTAATTGTATTTTTCTTTATTAGTCAAGTGTATACCTTCAATAAACATACTTTATCTCATTTGAATTGGTGTTTTGTTCCATTGAGATGGGGGTTTGAATGGTTTTCAATTAATTTATTGTTTCTCTTATAATTATTTGTTTGTATAATCATGTTATTTAGTTTAACAAATAAAATAAATGAAATAGAATGAATGACAAAGATAAATTGATATTAAATTTATTTTTTTATTCATTTTGTGGTATCTTATCTTTGTTATAACAAATAAACATCAAATGATATTATTACTTAATGATAAAATGAATGAAAATATCATAATAAATTTGTTATCTCAATGAATCAATTAGACTATTCTATTTCTATATTCTCCTTTTAGAAATGATTCAATATTCTTTAGTGTTTCATTAAATAAACGTTCTCTTGCTTCAATTGTTGCCCATCCAATGTGTGGACTAAATACAATCTTTTCACTTCTTACTTCTAATAATTTATTTGATGCCTTAATTGGTTCTTCATCAAAAACATCAGTTCCATATCCTCCAATTAAATTTTCTTGAAGTGCTTTTGCAATATCATCATTTACAACAATTGGTCCACGTGCCATATTAATGATAATTACACTTTTTTTCATTTCTTGAAATACTTTATAATTAAAAAGTCCTTTTGTTTTATCAGTAAGTGGACAATGAATACTAATGATGTCACTTGTTTTAATCATTTCTTCAAATGAAATTCTTTCTATTTCTTGGTCTTCATGCTTTCCTGTTGTACTATAATAATATACTTTTGCTCCTAACCCTTTCCCAATTTTTGCTACATTTTTCCCAATACTTCCAAGTCCAACAATACACCATTTCTTATTTGATATTTCATGAATATCATACTCACCTCCAACACATGTAAATATTCCTGATGAACTATACTCCC